CACCCACCTATCCTGCCCTCCTTCTCGCGACAGCTGCTTCTCTGCCAGGGGCCTGCCGTGCGTGTACATACGGGTATACTTGAGATCCGTCTTTGTGATACGTACGCTTCATGGACATGGATAGGAGATGCGTCGAGCCGGGTGCGCGCCATGAAGAGAGAAAGTGGAGACTCTGGCTAGGATGCTGAGGCTGGGCCCTTCCCAGAACACCGCGTTGGGACGCGCGCATCCGTCGGGGCGGCAACAGTTCTGCATGACAGTTTGAGACGGCGGCGGCGGACATGATACATGACTCTCGTGCGTTGTCGACGTGCAATGCCGTGTGAGATATATAGAGGCTGTACAAGTGACATATCTAGTATCACCTCGGAGCCGGGTTTTGCTGCGGCATAGTCGTTGGCTGGATGCGTCCGCGGCGGCATGCCTGCATGCATGTATGCAGAGATAGTCGTTCGCGTCGAGGGCGTTCATTGCACGTCGTGCCTTAAGGTTCTGAGTGGCTTCGATGCAGAGGCCGTGGATCGACCTTGTTGTTGGTCATGTTCGGCATGGCCCAGTCTTGTCGGTGTCCTGGGCGGACTTGAGGGAGCGGAATGATGCCGTCAAACCTTGTGCTGCGGCGATGCTGTGCAAAATAATCCACGGCATGGGTTGAGGTTGCGTCAGTCATTTAGATCAACTGTCAGTACAACCTGGAAGATCAAGTCAGCGGTCTCGAGCGGTGGACTGCGACTGTTGAGAGTCGTTATGACTGCTCAAGTCGGTAGTCCACGCGATGACCAGGGTCTCATTGCCGATGAGACAGAGCCAGGATCATGTCCCCGGAGAGTTGTGATGGTGTAACCTTGCCACGCGGAATGTAGGTACGTAACCTGGCCTCCATCTGACACGCCGAGGAAGTTCATCCGCGCCGAAGTGAGTACTTCACACGCATGGCGAGCGCTCTGTGCCCACTGATCAGTAGTAGTCATCAGATACAAAGTTGCAGCAATTGACACAATGACGCAGTCCAAGCACGGAGGTGTACGGTATGGGATGTAACTTTTATTGCAGCTTGCTGTTGCGGCACGTGGGCACTGCGAACTAGTCAAGACTGCAGGAAACTCAAATCTGCGTGTAGTGACCGAGATGTCTACGGCAGAGAAATGCCACAGTAGAATCCTCCGGACGCTGTCCCTGAACGTAATCGAGTGGAGCGCTTCGTCTGTTCAAGCAGTCTTACCGTTGATGGCCTTGAGTTCGACGTCGCTACATTCATGTCAGCGGTATGGTCATTCATGAGATGTCTGTCGGGCGGAAAGAGACATTGGTGCAGAGCATGAAGGGGAACTCACAAGACCAGGCTGGAGTTGGGCGGGATGTGACCGGGGAAACCACTATATCCGGGTAAGGCTTGTTAGCGATGTCCTGTTCCCTGCATCGATCACGTCCGTCTCTGCAACAAGCGCAGTCGCACAAGGCGTTGGGACGTGTGGGCGCCCGCATCGTGGGGTTTCCGGCGTGGAGGCGTGGAGGAGCTTACCGGCTGCCGTATCCGTAGTCACTATCAATCGCCAGTCAGCACACCGAAGCTTCAAAACACGGCAGATTGCTGCAGAGCACTGCAGAGCACTGCAGAGGTCCAGACTCGGCCTTGGCCCTGCCGTCTGACTTGACTTACCTGGAGATGGTGAGCGTGGCCTTCTCGCCCAACGACATGCCCTCCTGGCTGGCGTTCCCGAGAATGCCTTCGTCCCAGCCTGCCGAAATTTTCAGCATCAGCAACGCACCGCATCATCACGCAAGCCTTCGAATGCACATCTGCTTACCCTTGATCACGCGGCCGAGGCCGATCTTGGTGATGAAGTCGGCCCGTCCAACTGAAGAGTCGAACCTGAGGGGTGGCATTGTTATTAGCGCGCGGTCGTGGGACGGGCTTGCGGTGGTCCATACTTCTTGCCCTTGTTGTCCTTCGCGCTGGAGTCGAAGAGGTAGCCGGTGTATTCCATGGTGACATCGTCGCCCTTCTTGGGCTTGTCGGCGCCGTTGCCGGGGTTGATGGTCTGCTTCTCGACGCCCATGGTGCTGGTTGTTGGGTAGTTCGAAGGAGGTTCGAAGTTTGGGTGTGCAAAGCGGGTAGCTTGAGCCTTGGGCGGGCGGAGTTGGCGAAAGGCTCGACCTGAGTCAATGGCCGTGCTGAATAAGGATCGCCGGGCCGCAAGCGTGAGAGGGTGAGATGTCAATGTCAGGTGGCTTGGTGGTGATGAATCCGCCGGGAGGAGGAAGGGAAGCACTGGAGATTTGGGATTGATGATGATGCTGCACGCAAGCTGGGTACAAGTCCGCTTTAAACGAAGCCGCAGTCACGTCAGACACCGGGTGGATGAGCTTGCGCAAAGGGCCACCACTGGCATCCCGCTATTATGATCGATCATTGCGGTCGCGGCACCTTCTATCTGCCAACCATGTCCCTCGCATGCATTCATATGTAATGGGACGGGAAGGTGGCTTGTTCCCCAGGGGCCTTCCGATCTGTGTGCCAACCTGTGGAGTTCTAGCCTTCTCGACCGCCTATCCTCCCCTCCTCCCCTCCTCCCCTCCTCCCCTCCTCCAACCGCACTCTCTTGCCAACACCGACCGCCCTTCTGCCAGTCCACAGTGTGGCCTATGTTGCGCGCTGTGCTGTCACCCACGTCGATACACCTGCCTCGCTGCTGTCCCAGAGCCACCATGACCGCACACTGACTCCATGATTCAGGCGAAGCGTGTCCCCCGTTGCGCCCGCACCCGGGACGCCGAATAGAATGTTGCGGAAGGCCCCTTACATGCTGCACAACGGTGGGGTTCCAATATCTTCGCTCCTGGTACATCATCTGCTTTTGCACTGGAAGCGCGATTGACGAGCTGCGTACCGTCGACTTTGCCGGCATGGTGGTACGGACAGGGCTCGCAATTGGAGATCTCGGACCTCTCAATGTAAGGACTGAGGTGTCGTACATTTATTTGTACTGGGGAACCTTGGCGGATTTCCCAAGCAGAGATGCAGGCAGCCGATGCCCTGAACAATCCGACAGATCGTCCAGATTTCCCGTTGGCAGCCAGATACGCTTGCTCGATGGAGAATGCAAGAAGATGGATCTCTGCTCGAAGCGAGAACGAGGAGCGGAAGTACCTCTGTACTTTCACATGGTCGTCTGCTCGAAGCAGGCAATCGGTGTCAGCTGCGCTCCTACAGGCTGCAGACTGCATCTTCCCCAAGTCTATACTTCAACGCTCACGCACGGAATTGCAGCACTGCATCCGCCGGACGCACTCAACCCACCCCGCTGCCCCCACCTATACGCCACACGCTGCAATGTCGCCAGCCCCGTTATCGAACTAGGACGCCGAAGCCACGTTCTACAGCCATAGGGTGCTCGCGGCTTGTGCCCCCAGTGTCACTGTTGTCACAAGCACTGCAAGCATCAGGGCCCATCCCACCCTTGCGACCTGCAGCAACCCCGCGCGCCGGGGCGCGCCCAGGACATTGGAACGGTAATTTGCTATCGATTTTCTGGGACTTCTGCCGCTGATTATGTAGTTCGCCACGGAATCTTTGCGCCCACCGGGTTCTGTGGCGCGGGCCCTGCCGTATGCCAACGTCCGTAGACCAATTTTGAGCCGCATCGCCCCGTGGCTCGTCCCGTGGACCGGTCCGGACAGTGCTCGCTGCGAAAGGCCGGGCATGCGCATCGCAGTCCAGGCTTACCGTTATCCTTGCGGTGTTGCGACCAATTCCCGCTCTGTGAACCTCAACAAGGTATCTTTACCGAATCAAAAGCAACAACATTTCAGGGTATGACGGTCTCTGTCCGCACACTGGCTACGATGGCGGCAGCATCGAGCCATGGACGGCCAGTTGTTCCGAATCGATGCTGGCCACCGAAATATTGGGAAAGCGAGCATCTGTGGTTGCTGTGCCTCGTGCAAGGTAGTGTATCTGGGTGATGCCGACCCGGTCGAGGAATGCTGGGATTCGATGGTAGTTGGTACCGACGTGGTCGACAGCATGGCTATCGTCGCATAGCGTGAAACGGCCACCAAGACCGAGAAAGACCTGGCAGTATGTGAGTCCGTGATCGAGAACATAAACCCAAGCTACGAACCTCGCATATTTCTGCGCTAGGGTACGGCGTCTGCATACCCTTGCGAAGACCTGCTGTATTAAGCTCCAGCAAACCTCCGTACCCGGCAATGAATCCCAGGTTTCTTTCTATCTTGCTCCACACGTTGCTCCAGCACCTCAGATCCCTGTCTGGCTCGTCGCTTAGCAGCCTTATCAGATCGAAATGGCCGACGATTGGAGGCTTCAGCGCTTCCAGCATTCTCAGCTGCTCGTCGAAATAGTCCTCAAATAGCCGCTCATCCGTGCCCGCGGACTCGTTCCTGGCCCGCTCGTACATGGGCTTGTCGTAGTCGATAGGTATGGTATGCATGTGGTGTATGGAGCCGATGAAAAGCTCGACCGGGTACTTGTCCAAGGCCGTCTGTATCAGGTGGAGGGAGGACGGCCGGATCCATTCGGTCTCCATGCCGATGAGTATGTTGATCTTTGGGGCATACGCCTCCCGCAGCCGAATCGCCTCGTTGTAGTAGTTGTCGAACAGCTTCGTGAGGGACTGCTTGGACTCAAGCTGCCGGAGTACCGTGAGCGAGGATCTTCGAGGAACGAGCGTGATCTATACGTACGCACTTCTTCAGGGTACATGTCCTCGTCGTCCCGCGGCATGTGCTCCGTCAAGGCGAAGGTGTGGAAGCCTTTGGCAATTGCTGCCTCGATCATCTCCTCCAGCGTTCCTTTTGCATGGCTGCAGAATTGGCCGGAGTGGCTGTGGTGGGAGAATGGCATTTTGGATGCGCGTTGGGATTGTTGGTATGACGATGAGCTGCGGCGTCAGGGCGATGATTTTCAGCTTCGCGAGCGACAGTAAGTATGCTACTAGGAATATATACCGTATTATCAAAAGTTTCCTCATCAAATAGGCTGGTTGGCGCAATGGTAGCGCGTGCCCCTCCTATCACATGACAGGGCAAGGCTGCGGGTTCGAGTCCCGTGCTGGTCGTTTCTTTTTGCTTTCCATTCTTCTGGTTTGACACTGGCCAATATTCAGCCAGCCAGAGAGTTGCAGTTGTTTCTTTCTTCCAGTGTACGCAACAACGGCAACTTTTTTCTTTTTTCTGTTCCTGCTCCCCTGCGAAGATGCAGCTTCGCAAGACTATCAGCTCATAGGTAAAGTATTGCCAGTATATCTGTCAATGTAGTCAATGTCATCTGTCAAAGTATAGCAATACGGTATGAAGAAAGGAAAGACGGTTCATGTGATGAGAAAGACCGGCTTGAACATGTGGCGAAGGAGCTTGAGAAAGGCGGGAAAGAGCAAGAGCGCGCAGTCATCCAAGTACTGCAAGATATTGAGAAGGAGCAGACGGAGAAAAGGCAGAAGAGGCTTGAGAACATGGGAGAAGAGATGAGGAAAGAAAAGGAACTCGAACTAGAACTGGAGAAAGCGTTGGCTGTGGAGTAGGTCAAAGAATCGCGGTTCATTGGGAATAGCTGGTAGATATTGAATGTTAACATGGAGTTTACGACTTCGCTTGTACATCCGATCATTTGTTTTTAGTGGAGAGTAACTCGGAGACTGAAGAGAGAATCACACTGCTATTCGAGGAGAAGCATAATATTCAATAGCGCATCTACCTACTCGAATACTTGATACTGCGTGTTTACGTGCTTGCTGTATGCACGTAAGGGATCACTGCAATAGTTTAAGCATTGTGCAGTACTTCTGATATGAACTTTTGAACTCCATATTCAAACGTCTAAGTTGCGTTTTGTGAGAGCTTTGGCAGTTGACCTCTTCGCACCAAAACTCCACCCGCGTCCTGACAGGGCTTAGCGCCTTTCCGCACACGCGGGGTTTCCGAACCACCGACCTCGCTGACTGTCATCCCGCCATCAGACAACAAAGTCCCACCCAAACCAAGCCCATTGCATCTGCAGCGCGGCAGGGCCAAAGATGAGCCGAAAACGCCCCTCTTCCACCAACCAGTAGCAGCCATCATGGTCAGTCGCCGAAGATCTTTCTCCGACATGCTGCTCGTAACTGCGCGCCTCATGGCTTGGCGGGTAAATCGGCATCTCTCGCTGCTGGTGGGAGCCCAGTCACAAAGGGCAGTATCCTATTGACTGCCCCGCGGCCTTGCAGCTGCTTTGTCTTTTCCCTGTCGCCATGATAACAAAGCGAGAAAATTCCACACCTCTTCTTTTCGTGTCGAGTCTTCTGCTGCTACCGTCTTCCTGATCAATCGTCTCGACACACTGTCACTGCCTCGCTGACCGTTGATGACATCCGGAAATGCATCACGTGCCGCTTACCAGCGCTTCAGCGACGACGGTGATGCGAATACCACGAGTGCTTCCATAGGGGGCAGCAGTGGCGGAATCGACGAGAGCTCGTGGCGGGGTCCTGCAGGAGATGCGTCCTCGAACAATGACGCCAATTCGAGACCGGACGAAATCGACGACGATTCCACGACTATGTCAAAGCACACCAATGCCACAGCCAGTGTCAACGAGGCGCCATCGAAACAACCAATACTGGGTCCCGAACCCCCCGTCGACAGCAGCGTCAACAACACAGGTTCCAATGCCCTTCCTCTCATCGACGAAAACGAGACGCAAGCAGCAGCACCACCACCAACCGCCCCCCAGAAGCCCACCCCCGTAACATGGCGCTCCCTCCCCCGCAAAGACCAACTCGCCATCCTCACCTTGGCCCGCCTCTCCGAGCCTCTGACCCAAACCTCGCTCCAAGCGTACATGTTCTACCAGCTCAAGTCCTTCAATCCGTCACTGCCGGACTCGACCATCTCGTCGCAAGCGGGTGTGTTGCAGGGCGCGTTCACGGCAACACAGTTCCTGACGGCGGTGGCGTGGGGTAGGGTCGCGGATGCCGAGTGGGGTGGCAGGAAGAGGGTGTTGTTGGTGGGGATTTTGGGAACCGCGGTGTCGGTTGTGGGGTTTGGGTTTTCGAAGAGCTTCGGGACGGCGGTGTTTTTTAGGTTGCTGGGAGGGGCGTTGAATGGGAATGTTGGGGTTATGAGGACGGTGAGTTGGTGACTTTGTCTTTGTTTGGGACGAATTGTCGTGTGGGGGAAGTCTGTTGGTGTTCAAGCTTGGGGATTCCCATCACGGGTTTACCTTTTGGATGAGAATTGCAGCTGACCGATATTAGATGATTGCGGAGATTATCAAGGAGAAGAAGTAATTACAGCACAGGAGTAACTTGGAACTCATAGCAAAAACTAATTCTCCCAGGTTTCAATCGCGGGCGTTTCTACTTCTCCCCATGACTTTCAACATTGGCGTCATCATCGGTCCTGTATTAGGTATTCATGGCCTTCGAAGCCAAAGAAAGAGATACCTGGCTAACGTGGAGAAAAGGCGGCTTGTTGGCTGATCCGGTGGGGAGCTATCCGAGCATTTTCGGGCCAGGATCCTGTCTTGGAGGCAAAGATGGCGTTGGCTGGATGACGACTTGGCCTTATGCGCTGCCAAATCTTGTGAGCTCGATCTTTCTGATCGTCTCTGCTCTCGGTATCGTGTTTGGGTTAGAAGAGGTAAGCTTCAGACAAATGCACGTAGGCCAATGCTAACGACTCCAAAGACACATTATCTGCTCCGCGACAAGCCTGATTATGGGCTGCGGATCGGCCGCTGGCTCACCAGACTCCTGTCTGGACGTCGACCCCATCAATCATACGCCGCCATACCCACAGAAGAGAGACCTCACACACCAACAACCCCTTCCGCCGTCGAGATGCAGGCCACCCCACCTACATCAAAGAAGCCTTTACGCCGGCAAAAGCTGCCCTTCGGACAGATATGGACGTCGAACGTCCTATTCACCTTCTTCTCGCACGGTCTCCTAGCCATGCACATCGGCTCCTTCAACAGCCTCTGGTTCGTCTTCCTCAGCACCCCACGCTTCGACCCGACGCACCCATATCCACCCACCCTCTCGCACCAACACCCACCGCTCCACTTCACCGGCGGCCTCGGCCTCCCACCCGCGCGCATCGGCCTCGCCCTCGCCATCCTTGGCGTCATCGGAATCTCCCTCCAACTCCTCCTCTACCCCCGTCTCAGCACCAAACTCGGCACAATCCGCTCCTACCGCCTATCCCTCCTCCTCTTCCCCCTCGCCTACACCGTCATCCCCTTCCTCGCGCTCCTGCCCTCCCGCACCGCCGCCCCGGCGCCCGCATCCGGCCTCGTCGTCTGGATCGGTATCAGCTGCGCCCTCGTCATCATGGTGACGGGCCGCACGTTCGCCTTGCCGGCGACCGCCATCCTGGTCAACAACTCGTGTCCGCATCCCAGCGTCCTAGGCACGATCCACGGCTTCGGCCAGAGCGTGAGTAGTGGCGCGAGGACGGTGGGACCGGTGGTGGGGGGATGGGTGTTTGGACAGGGACTCAGGATGGGGATGGTGGGGTTGGCGTGGTGGGTGCTGGCGTGCGTGGCGGTGGTCGGGGCGGTGGCGGCGAGGTTCGTGAGGGAGGGGAGTGGGCATGAGATTTTTTTGCCGGGGGAGGAGAAGGATGATGATGATGGGTGATGGGGATGGGAGGGGCGGAGGGAGGTAGGGATGGTGATGTTTCTCGTTGTGGTCTTGTGGGTAACGATAGGGATGGCTTGGTCATTAGACGGGCGCATTGGAGCTACATACAATGCAGCCCTTTTGACACATTCAGGCGGCGCCCATAAACTCGATACTCCGTAGACTCATCAACCGCATCGACGACAACCACGCCGAGATCCAAACCCATCCACCTCCACACCAAACGCACAACACGCCGTCCGTCCCTGCCGATCCCCCAGTCTCCGTTCCACGCGGGAGCCGTCATCCCGATGCGCCCGCCACGCCACGCTACAGTAGCGCGATCGTCCCGCACAACCACCAGCCACCAGCCACACGGCAACCCAACCCCCAACCTCGCCCCGACCACCCCAAACACGCTCCCAGCCCCAAATCGCGGGAACAAAAAGAGCGACGGGCGCGTCGAGATTTCTGCCATCAACACTGTTCTCCACCCACGCACTCCCACCACCTGCAACCAAATAGTCCACGTCGAGTCATCATTCGTCGTGTAGTAGAGCGGCGCCGACATCTAAATCGCTGCGCACGGACCGAGATCTGCGCTCCCGCCTCTCGTCAACACGACCAAGACAACCCTCACGATCATCCGCAAAGCCGCTCGTCCGCCATCCATTGCGCCCATTTCTGCTCCCAAGTGTGTACACTCCCGCCTCCCTCACTCCCTCCCACAAACTAACAGCATCCCAGAATCACCAATCTCACCCCACCTCCACCTCCACCTCCACCTCCACCCCGCTCCCACCAACCCCCCTCCCCACCCCCACAACAAAAATGAAACGCAACATCGTCATCTTCCTCATCGTCCTCATCCTCTTCATCGTCATCGCCGCCGTCGCCTACCTGATCTACTGGCTCCAGAACCGCATGGGCACCGCCGGCAGCTCGCTCAGCGACTCCGAAATGTCCGAGGGCGGGGCCTGAGTGCGTTCTTCGTGCGTCTGTGAAGAAAGATGCCCCCCTCCCCCCCCAAAAAAAAAGAAAAAAGAAGACCGAAAGAAAGAAAAGAAGGAAAACAAGAACGAGAAGAAAAATCCCTCCAAGAGTTTCGGATCCAAAAACGAGGATCTGGGAAGAATGGGGGTGGTTTGGTACGACGTGATGGGTGAACGATTTTCTTTTGTTTTCCGGGGTTTGTGGATGGAGGTTGGTGTTGAGCTGCCGTGTTTTCTTGTATTTGCTTTGGGATAGAGAGGAGAGGTTGGTGTAGGCGTTGGGTGGGATATATGCACATGGGATATATGCACATGGGATATTTGCGCGTGGGATATGTGCGCGTGGGATATATACGCGTTGAAGCAAGCGTGGAGTTTTGCCGGGAGTGTTCAAGATTCGAGGACGGGAAGCTAATGGGCTGGATGATACGAACGAGATGGGGTTCAGGGGATAAGGCCGCGGTGGAT